GCTGAGGCGGATCAGAAACAGCGGATTTTTTACGCTTAGGGGACTCATTTAGCAGCTTAAGGGCACTAAACGCAGTGTCAAGAGCACAGAGCTGGTCATTGATTTTACGAAAACCAGTGATCAGCTCTTTAAGGATGTAGTCTCATGTGCCGGCCTACTTTTTAGAGGTTATTTCAAAAAAATTTTTTTGTAATAAAAAATAATGCGATCGTTTCAATTTTCAAATATGTTTTTATAAGCATCATAAACTATTTGAAAATATTTTGTTTAATTTATTCTTGTGTAGTTTAATACACTTTATAGCATGCCAAAGTATGCATATAAAAAAAAAAAGATAGGTCCCTGGCGCAGGTGATTTCGACTGCTAGAGTCATCCGAAACAAAAAATTAGAATAGATTATTGTTTTGTAAGCTAATGGCTCTGTCCCGTACTAGAATGAAATATTTTCATCAATAAACAACAAAATGGCGAACTCACAAAACAAAAATTGATCTTAAATTAATGATAAAAAAAAAACTAATCATTAAAAATAAATGATTCTAGTACGGGACAGAGGTGTTACTTTTTAGAACAACATATCCAAATTTCAGCTAGATCGGTACCATAGAATTTTGTGAATCACCTGCGCCGCACACAAAAATGTCGTTTCGAGAAAAGCGCGTTTAAAGTTTAGACGCTACCGAGAAACTCATACTTTTCGGTGTAGGCGCGCTCTCGATTATGGGCTGTATCTCTGTCATTATTTGATATTTTTATTTGAAACTTTAACAGTACATTCATAATAAACAATACTATCAAAATATAAAAAAAAAATTGATTTTTTCAACCTCACACATGAGACTACATCCTTAAATCCATTCTTGGTCTGTCTCATGAACGATCTCATTTCGCCTTGGACAGCACGACAATTTTTACAGCAATAATGAATACCAGACCTACGGGAAATGGCATCCGAGACTGAGGCAGTGAACCCAGCACACTTGGCGTGTATGACGTTGTCACATAGCCAGCAATGGTTGGTAGGCTGGGATGAGGAAATTGTCTTGTTACAAGACTTCATAGCACAGACAAGTTCAAATTCCATATTTTTAATTAATAACAAAAAAATTAATAAATAACAAGGAAGGAAAGCTAACTTTGGGCGGGGCCGAAGTTTATATACCCTTTCAGTTAAAACCGGATATTTATCGCAAACATCGGATATAGTTGGCCGATCCTTATAAGAATATCATAATAAAACCAATTAATTACAATAAAAAATCTAAAAAAAAATTCCAAGCTTCTATCTTCAAAAATACCAAAGTTGGTATTTCTACCATAAACCATTTCCGATCGTTCAGTTATATGGCAGCTAAAAGATATAGTCGGCCGACCCTTATGAAAATAGCTCTCGTGTCAAATTTGAACTCTTTTACTCTAAAAACACCAAAGTTATACCGTTTCCGATCAATCAGTTATATGGCAGCTATAGGATATAGTCGGCCGATCCCGGCCGCTCCGACTAACATACTGCCTGCAAAGGAAAGAAGGGTGGGTGCAAAGTTTCAAGTCGATAGCTTTAAAACTGAGAGACTAGTTTGCGTAGAAACAGACAGACGGAAAGACGGACGGACAGACGGACATGCTTATATCAACTCAGGAAGTGATCCTGATAAAGAATATATATACTTTATAGGGTCGGAGATGTCTCCTTCACTGCGTTGCACACTTTTGGAAAAAATTATTATACCCTCTGCAGGGGTATAAAAAGTTTAAAAACACTATACCTTAAACCACTCTGCCAAATAGGAAAACGAAGCGGGAGCTTTGGAGAGTGCAAAGGAAAAGTGCAGAAATATAGATAAGACGGGGAAGAAGCAGAGCTGAGCTATGCTTGGAATTGAATTTAGAGAAATTATTAATTCTCCTCCAAATATACCACAGCACTCGCAAAGCGATACGGTTTAGGTTAAGATTCTCAAAACTTAAGATTCCCAATAGATTCACAAGTAAGTAAACACCGGTTTACCAATACCAATACCGCAGTGCGCACAAAATAAATACGACCGTTCGCTTAAGAGGAAGAGAGAAAAAAAAAATATCTTCGCTTTCTACTCCCCTTCAACTGCTGTTTTCCCTGTCGCTCTCTTCTGGTAGATTCCCCTACCGGTGGAAGATTACTTCTACAACGCCTATTCACAAAGGTGGCAGTAGGTCTGATGTTACCAACTATCGACCCATGTCCTGGAACATGGACCCTGGAATCCGCTCCAGTATCTTAGCGACGTTGCAAATTTTGGCTAAAAAATGTTGGCTTTGCAAAGTAACTAAAAAATTGACTTTTCTGGCTCGTAATTTTATATCCCCCAACCAGCATGGTTTTTTGCCTGGGAGGTCCTCTACAACTAATTTAGCGGTCTTCTCTAAGCACTCCTTTGAAGCTTTTGAAAACCGATTTCAGTTGGATGCCATTTACACTGACTTCTCCAAATCCTTCGACAAAGTGTGTCATGCTGCCCTTCTGGCCAAATTATATAAATTAGGTATACATTCCTGCCTATTAAGTTGGTTCGAGTCTTATCTGGCTGACCGACCTTGCCACGTTTCTATTGGTGACGCTATCTCAAGTCCATTTGTGACCTCCTCTGGTCTTCCACAAGGCAGCTCTCTTGGACCTCTTCTATTCATTATTTTCATTAATGACATCTCGTCATGCTTTCGTCATTCCTACTTCTTAATGTATGCGGATGACCATAAAATCTATAAAGCCATTAGCTGCATTAGTGACAGTTACTTGTTACAGGAGGATATATCCAGAGTTTACACATGGTTCTCGTAATCTTCTTCCATGAAACTTATCTAAGTGTATGTTTACCCGTTACAGTAAGCGGTCTCTTGAAATCTGCACGGGTTATTCCATCAGTAATTATAATTTGCCAGCTAAAAAGGAGGTGTTAGACCTTGGTGTCTTATTCGACAGAAAATTTAAATTTTCTGGTCACTTAGACTATATTCTGTCTAAAGCGTATGCTATGCTGGGCTTTGTTAAGAGGACCGTAAACCAATTCAACAGTCCATACTCTAGCCTCAGCGTCTACGCTGCATTTATTTGGTCGAAGCTGGAATATGCCTCAATCATTTGGAATCCGGATTGTAAAGTTCGTTCCAACAGAATTGAGCGACTCCAGAAAAAATTTTTAAAATTTGCTCTTCTGCCTCTAAGGTTTCAGGATCCTCTACCTTCATACCAAAGCCGCTGCCTTCTTCTCAATTTTTGCACGTTGGAGGATAGGCGTAAACTGGCAGCCTTAATTTTTCTCAACAATGTAGTCGCTGTAACATTGATTGTCCATTTTTATTGGGACTCATTAATTTTAATGTTCCTCAAAGGGATCTTCGTACGTTTGCCCTCTTTCGGATCAAGTGTCACAGGGCCAACTACCTTTTAAATGAGCCGATTGAGCAAGCTCTTTCTTATTTTAATTCTTTGCCGCCTAGCCTCCGAATTGAGTGGGGCTCTGATAAGGTTGTGTTTAAACGATAACATACGTCAGGCACTTATTAAGTTTTTATTAGTATTGTAGTATTATTTGTTATTTTGTAAGTTGTTGTTATGTAGCCATATAAGGATTTATCCGTTGGCGAAATAAAAAATAAATAAATAAATAAAGTGGTCCTTCAAGCGCTTTAACATTCGCCACCACATAGAACCTCAAAACGGAACTCTTTGGAGTAACACCAGCTTATTATTGGGGCTCCTCTTAACATTTGGTCCATATACAGGTATATTATACCTGTAAAGTCGCCCGATCACGTTCCGACGTATATACTACATACATTTTTTCCCGCAATAATTTCGCATAGTCATTCTTCAGGTAGTCGATAAAGATCACACCTTGTAAATTCCAAAAACGGTGGCCATACCCTTTCCGGCCGATAAGACAGTCTTCGCCTTCTTCGGAGCAGATTCGCCGGGTGAAGTCCACTGTTTCGATTGTTTTTTGGTCTCTTAACGCAGAAACTCCTTTGGATTGCGCTTAAACATCGTCAAACACTGCTTTAAAGTGGTCTCACGATTGCGTTTGTTGTCCGGAGTGGACAAACGCGGCACCCATCCCGCCGACAACTTTCTCATTTCCAAAATTTCATCTAGGATATGACCCACGCGGTCTTTTAAGATGCCTACTCTCCCATCCACGTTATCTTCCGTGGTAGCCGTTTTCGGGGCACCTGGGGCACCTTTTTTCAACAAAAACTGACGTGCGTTGAAACGCATTGAACCAATTTTTGACGGTCGCGAAGAGTCACCGTACACAGCATCCAAGTGCTCTTTGTTTTCGCTCCGCGATTGCGAGTCCATAAAGTTATCTTAAGTTAGTTTTTCCTAGTTTTTTTTTAAGAATAAGCTTTTTCTTTGTATTTTCAATTAATTAGTTCATGACCGGCACGATATTTAACAGATAATGTCTGTGTTGTGTTTACTTCCCCATGTGTACAACGAGTGTAAATTGAGTCAAAAAGAATATCATTTGGCTTAATTTAGTGTGATGCATCGGCTGCAAGTTAAAAAATGGTTTCATTTATATAAAAAAACCAAAGTATCACCTTGCCGCGAAACCAAAAGTATCACCTTGCCGGCAACTCTTAGTTTCATTTAATCCAGGGGTGCCCATTGCTGTCGTTGCTCCTTTGTTGTTAAAAATGCTCTTTCATATGGGAAATGCAAGTTATATGTACGTGACTCGCAGCATTGGCAAAGGGCAATTACAATACCAATTTTTTGTGTTTTTCGTTCTCTTCTTAATCGTGCTAATCCAAATGCATTTTGTTGTTGTATATCATTATAATAATATTAATTTTAACCTCTTTTAGCCTCTATTTTTCAATGCACCTACATGAGCTGCACAAAAATATTCTCGCACCAATGGTATGGGAGTTTGCTCTGCCTGATTTAATCATTTTTCTGGTTGGTTATATAAATATATATTGTAGCTACCAATGTTACAAAAGTGTTACTCACCAATGAGTTACCTTCATCAAATGAATATTCGTCGTCACTATTTGAGTAGTCCGAACTCCATCCTCCTTTTTCGAGATTATCCTTTCCATTTTTACAGGTATTTCCAACTTTTTCATTGTCAACGCTGCAATTTGATTTTCGGTTGGGCAACTCTAAGCATTCGTCTAAGCCTATGTGATTTATTGGGCCAAAACTGGAGGTGTCCCAAGATGTGGTTTGCATTAGACCCCGATGACTAAAATTGTATTGCTTAATTTTTTCCCCTTTAAGTTCTTCGAGTTGATTGAGCAAGACCCGTTTGATTTCTGAAACCCATTTCATTTTAACATCGATCGAAGGCGCTTGTAATACGTGTACTTCTTGACGTCCTTGAAGCCAAACTTCAAAACGTTTCGTATCGCCCCGTACAGACTCTGTCAAGCCAACTTCTGACATCTACTCAAAATAATGATACACCATTATATAAATCTTTTTAAGTGGATTGAGACTTTACTAACCTTAATATGATGTTTAAATTGGTAGGTACTTTTGTTGTGACCCGGTTTTGTTAATTGTTTACAAAAAAGTAACGACTTTTGGTAAAGAAAAATATGTCGCTGTCGCGGCTTGATCCGAATGCGAATGTCTTTTTTTGACTCTGTCCACACTTGAAACGAGTCTTGCATTAAGAGTTCCCCTTGTTCCGCCAAATTGGTCTGGAATAATACATTCAATACTTAGTAATGCAACAATTTTAACTTGACTTACCGGAAATCCTGTTATTGCTATTTGATGCATAGAGTCATTAACACACTTTAAAACTATTAACATACAGTCAAGTGCTTTTTGAAGTTCCTTAGTACAACTACCACTGTCACTATAGCGAAGTAAGTCCTTTAAAAGTAGTTGGTATTTGGTAATCCTTTGTACAGGCTTAAGTAAATATGCAGCGAGGGGAAGCTTGTGACCTAGCCGTTTTTGGCATCCTTGAAAAAAAAGATGCGTGTCCACCAGAGTTTCACGTAAGCGTTCTGATTTCGGAATGTTTTGACAATAATATGAGTAGAGTCGGTAAAATGTGTCCCGCTGAAAAAGAATTATATTGCAATAATATTTGATAAATTTTTCATGACTTTTATGCCTTACTCTTTGAACAAAACAAAGTGCTACCAGTTCAGTGGTTGAAATGCAATTTTCAAGGTCCTTTAAAAAAACTTCGTTGTGAAATGAATACAATTCATTTAAATTTCCAAAAAGTATGTCTTCTTTTCCAAAAAGGCTTACAGGTGCAAGATGCATGAACTCTTCAGATTTCAGCTGGTCGCAATATCCCTAGAACAATGATAAGCTAGTAAAAACACATTGTCACTTATAAGCAGAGCTTTAAAAAGCTTTTTATCAGTGTCCAACAGAAACTTTAAAAAACGGGACGTAAAAAAAATTTTAGAGCAAAACTTGTTATGTAATAGAAACATTTTATCATTCATTCATTCATTTAAAGCGGTCATTAGGGTCAAAGCGGCCAAAGCTAAGAAATAAATTTATTTGAAATAATTTTATAAATAGCCCAGAATCCTAAACTTAAAGTTTTTTTTTATAAATTAAAATAAACCCATATATTGATTATGTATGTTATATTTTCAGTAAAAAAAAGATTTTTTTTAAGCGACCAAAATAAAGAACATTAAATAATCATTATTTTGAAACAGTCATTTGCAAGCTCTGCACAGAGCAGAGAATATGCATCAAAATAAAGACACACAGATTGAGAGGAATAGGACGAATTGACTTACCCTACTTTCGTAAAAAAATGTAAATGTACAGTTAAACAAAAACAACTTAGCTGTATTACCGTCAAGATTGAACTAATTTCATTCACATAGATCTTCTCCGTCTCTAGAAGCTCAGTTAATACGTGTCCGCGCTTAAGACAACGTGCCTCATAATCCTGAAATTTAATAAAAAATGTGTATGCTAGTTAAGTGTTTTTAATAATATGTATAAACAATTTTTATACCCTTGCAGATACTTTCGTATTTTTAAAGATAGAAACTTTGTACAGATTATATTTTTGGTCAGTTGACCTGCCGAATTTCATAACGATCGGCCGACTATATCTTACAGCTGCCATATAACTGAACGATCGGAAATGAAATTTTTGTAAACAAGAAAGGAAAGCTAACTTCGGGCGGAGCCGAAGTTGATATACCCTTGCAGGTAAACCCGGATATATATCGCAAACATCGGATATAGTTGGCCGATCCTTATGGGAATATGAATATATAATCCAATTTATTACAATACAAAATCTAAATACAGTCCCAAACTTCTATCTTCAAACATGCCAAAGTTGCTATTTCTACCAAAAACCATTTCCGATGGTTCAGTTATATGGCAGCTATAAGATATAGTCAGCCGGTCGTTATAAAATTTGGTAGGTCGGATTAACTGACCAAAAATTGAATCTGTACCAAGTTCCAGCTTTCTATCTTCAAAAACACGAAAGTTGGGTCATTTCCGATCGTTCAGTTATATGGCAGCTATAGGATATAGTCGGCCGGTTCTTACAAAATTTTGCATGTCATATTCTTTTGCCAAAAATAGCTCTCATGTAAAATTTGAACTCTAACTCTAAAAACACCGCAGTTATACCATTTCCGATCAAACAGTTATATGGCAGCTGTAGGATATAGTCGGCCGATCCCGGCCGTTCCGACTTATATACTGCGTGCAAAGGAAAGAAGGGTGTGTGCAAAGTTTCAGGACGATACCTTTAAAACTGAGAGACTAGTTTGCGTTGAAACAGACAGACGGACAGACGGACATGCTCATATCAACTCAGGAGGTGATCCTGATCAAGAATATATATACTTTATAGGGTCGGAGATGTCTCCATCACTGCGTTGCACACTTTTGGACAAAATTATAATACCCTCTGCAAGGGAATAAAAATACCAACTTTGGTGTTCTTGAAAATAGAAGTTTTCTGGGTTTTTTTTTAGATTTTATATCGTAATGAATTGGTTATATTATGATATTCTCATAAGGGTCGGCCATCTATATCCGATTTCTGAGATATATGAATATCCGGTTTTAACTGCAAGGGTACATCGGCTCCGCCCGAAGCATTGTTGCCATTTTAGCTATTTTATTTCTAGGTCTAGCTCTTTTGAAACTGCGATAGATACAAGATTTTGTGAAAAACTTTTAACTAGAAATCTAGTATTTTTTTTTAATGATTCGTCTACTGCTGGCACTTTTTAAATAGTACCGAAACAGCTCTTCTAAGATGGTTTTTCTATTTTAAGGTTTCCTCAAGAAAAGTGAAAACAAACTCTGTTATGAGAAAATTTTCTTATTTTGTACAATGGAAAAAAAAACACTAAAGTTTTGGGCTGAAGTTTTTGAATCAACACATTCGCAGTGGTCGGACGCGTATATAGCCAAGTGCAGCTAGTTAAAGTAAACTCAGAAATAGAATGCATTTGAAACTCTAAATGCTATTAAAACACAATTCTAAGGTTTATACTATAAACTTTATACCAATGAAATAAATGCGCCTGGAATAGGGTCTGGAATGACCCTATTCCAGGGGCATAGGAAATTTATTTTCGCGAGCTCTGTATTACAGAGTCTGTAAACGTATAAAACATCACGCTCTTAGCCTAATTTCTGCTATTCGTCATTAATACTAATACCTTAAAACCATATCATTGTATTAAGTGCCGACCACGGAATTACAGGTATGAATTCAAAAGAAGTGGGACATGTAGTTTTAACTCCACATTGCCAACCAAATATTTGAAAATGATCTCTGAACCAGAAAAATATAAAGATTCTTCCAGAAACGTTTCTTATACCTTTATACATGGTATAATCATTTTGGTCAAAAGTGTGCAACCTAGTGAGGGACAAATCTCCAAACTTATACTATTCTATATTTCTATATTATCTATATTCTATTCTATATTATTAAATATATTATTATTATATTATTCTGCCTTGATATAGGCATTTCCTTCTATCTTATTTTTACTCAAACTTGACTTTGTTTTTTAAAGCTTTAGACGTAAAAAGTTTTCGTGTTTTTCAAGACGATAGACGGTTGGAACTTTGTTCATATTTATTTTCAGCAATGTCCATTAATCCGACAATCCAAATTTCATAAGGATCGGCCGTCTATATCCTGAAGCTCCCACATGACTGTTTTTTTTTTAAATTTTGTTTTTTTAATTTTTGTTTTGATAAAAAATTACCTAATTTTTTTTGTTTTGAAGATAAAATGGAACTTTTTTAAAATGTTTGTGGTTAAAAAAATTGGTAATTTAGTATTAAAGTCTCAAAAGGATTGGCCAACCATATCAGATATTTGCAATTTATATCCGATCTTAACTACAAGGGTATATCAACTTTGGATCTAGTTTGTGGCATTTTTTAATTTAGCTAGAAAGGAAAGCTAACTTCGGGCGGAGCCGTATTTGATATACCCTTGCAGTTAAAACCGGATACATTTCGCTAAAATCGGATATAGTTGGCCGGTTCTTATGAGGATATCATAATATAACCAATTCATTACGATACAAAGTCTAAAAAAAATCCCGAACTTCGAATCCCGAACTTCCCGAACACCAAAGTTGGTATTTTTACCAAATACCATTTCCGATCGTTCAGTTATATGGCAGCTGTAAGATATAGTTGGCCGATCGTTATAAAATTTGGCAGGTCGGATCAACCGACCAAAAATATAATCTGTACAAAGTTGTTATCTTTCAAAATACGAAAGTTGGGTCATTTCCGATTGTTCAGTTATATGGCAGCTATAGGACATAGTCGGCCGATCCCGGCCGTTCCGACTTATGTATATACTGCGTGCAAAAAAAAAGGATGTGTTGATAGTGGATAGCTTCAAAACTAGTCTGCGTAGAAACAGACAGACGGACATGCTCATATCAACTCAGGAGGTGATCCTGATCAAGAATATATATACTTTATAGGGTCAGAGATATCTCCTTCACTGCGTTGCACACTTTTGACAAAAATTATAATACCCTCTGCAAAAAATAAATAAAGTAAGCAATATACAAACAATTTTTATTATCAATCATTCAAAAGTTACATTTAAAATCTGTCCGGAATTATGAACAATAATTAAATTTTTTAATGATACCTTAGCTTAATGGAATATTGAGTAATATGTTATAATGTACAAATATGATTTTTGCTTGTCCTACGAACTACTTTTAACTTTAATTTTTGTTTAAGCCTTGACGTTTCAATTAGAATTTTATGGTGAACCCTTTAGTGGGCGTGGATAAATCTAGAAATGCAGCTAAAAAAATAAAAAATAAAAACGATCAGCACTAGAATGTGCCCAACAGGATATTACAAATAAAAGAGTTTGGGGAACATTTTTGTATGTTTGTATAGTAAATGGTATATATATATAATATATATATATAGGTATATATAAGGGTATATCTCCTCTAAAAATTTGGATGATGTTTTTCAGATATAAATTTAGCTTAGAATTTAGCTTAGGTGGGCATCCACATTTTTTCAAAAAACCTTCCTGTACTGGCTCTAGTAGAATATGCGATTTATCAGAGCAGGAAGCAGCGTTGCAACAATTTTAAATAAACTTGAACTGCGTGGGCATTATAGGAGTCTCCATGCAAAATCTTATAGTAGCTCAATCACTTATAGTCTCTGAGATCCATGCGTTCATACGGACAGACGGAAAAACGAACGAACATCTAAAAAAAGTTTAGATGAAACTAGATGATCTTACGACAGACCAGTTTATGGTGCTAGTGCACTAACATATGTACGTACAGAGGTTGCGGCCCAATTTGATATTCTGATGGTAAAGCTCTCTAAATATAGGTCCGTTGAAGTCGAGAGGACCGGAGACCTAATCAGAGAACGCATCAAACACCATTTTCACAAAAGGTTTGCAATAAACTTCTTGCAGGCCACATCGAAACAAATTCGCTCAAGTAACGGACGGCTTTCAATCGCTGCCGTTTACTGCCCTCCTCGTTTTTCAATCTCGGAAGGACAATTTATGGACTTCTACAATTCACTTGGGGATCGTCTTAAAGCCTTAAAATGCCAAACATACATACATATGGGGGTCACGTCTAGTGACTCCCAAAAGAAGGAAATTTAACAATGCAATTTTGAATTTGAGAAAAAAACTGGACTACGTTTCCAATGAAAGTCCCACATACTGGCTAACAGATCTATGCAAGCTTCCACACATACCAATACACATTGCAAAAACATACCTCGCAATCTAAAAAGTGCCAAAGCAGTCTCGAACTTATCATAAGACCACTCGGCTGTGCTTCTGACGCTTCTTTAAAGCCCAGAAATACCCGAACACCCCTTCAGCCTGACGACGCCAAATCGAACCGGAATCGGACATCGACTACTTTACGAGCGCCCTGGGCCATCTAAAATTTCTACCTCGCAAGGAAACGAAGTATACCCAATAAATCCAATCAGCAAGTCAACAGCACGTGCTACGCCCACGCGTTGTGATTGGCAAAACAGCAGATCACTAGCTTCACAGAAACTCCTTAAGGAAGCAACACGATCACTCGACCAGGCTCTTCACCAACAGGACGAAAAAGCACAACTGAGGTACATCCAGAATCTTTTGCTAACAAGTAAAAAGCATCACCTGTAGAGAGCTCACCCAAATTTTAGCGCCCCAAGTGAAACGATCACCCCGATAAGAAACTCTTTGGGGTGCTGGGCTCGCAGCGACGAAGACAGAGCTGAAACTTTCGCTAAAACCCTTTCAGCCAAACCCTGCCTCGAATTTATTCCTCCTGCTACTAACTCAACGAACTCCACTTCCATAAAAGTGGAAGAAATCCATCATCATAATGATACCGAAGCTTGGAAAAGACCACACAATTCCGACATCGTATAGACCAATAA